GCAAATTATACATCGGACATACGAATATCAAACAACTGCAAAAATTTAAATAACTGTGAAGTGTTTTAACATAGGAGGCAATCTGTGATACTCAAATACGAAGGCGCATCGAGACAGCCAAAGATGTTTTCCAAAATCTATACAGAGTAATAAGAAACAGGAAAACTTCTTTAAAAACAAATAAAAGCGTACTGAGTTGTTTTGTGATATATCTCCTCCTCCTATATGGGAAGTGAATGCTTGAAAATCTCCTCAAAGATGTTGAAAAGTCATAGTAGGCATCTTGTTTTACAGAAGAATGCTGTTCTGAATATGTGAGCAACGAGGAAGTTCTAGGGAAAATGGAAACAAAAAGGAAACTTAACATCAGAAAGAGAAAAATTTAGAACACATAATGAGGAAAGAGGGCTTAGGAAACCTGATACTCACAGGACAGACGGAAGCCAAGAGAGACCGAGGAAAACCACACATAACTTGCTTAGCGACCTTCAGTAAATGAATGGCGGAACAGGGTTTAGAAGAAATAACAAAAAGACAAAGTTTATTAAGAGCTACCGAGGACTGGTAGTTGTGGAGAGCCATGGTCATCTACGCTCTGAAGGAAGACGGCACACGAATAAGAACGAACAGTTGTAGCTTATCCTGGAAAATATTTATAATGCCTACAAAATATCAATGCTATTTGTTGATTTCAGTATTCTTTGGAAAGGGATCGTTTGTATAATTCAGTGCGCCATCTCTTTCTAACGTTTGTCATTAATATGAATTGAAATGATTGTATCGAAACATTTGCTGGCACTAAGAAATTGGATTCACTGTATCGTGCTAGAGAATTATTTTCACCTAAATATTGCACCTTTATAAAGCTACCCTTCGTCCGTTCATTAAATACTTTTGTCGCAACTGGTCTGGTGCTTCTGCTATGTATCAAAATATTCTTGATATAATCGAAAGAATTTGCATTGTCATCGTTCCTGGCCTGGCATCACAACTTCAATTATTTTCCCAGTGCTGTAAGATATTTTTCCTAATAACATTTCTATAAATATTTCCATGATAATTTCTCTAATGAGTTCATTCCTTCGATACATCGTCTGCATGAATTCAAGCGTATTAATACAATTTTAATTTCATATTTTTAATCATTCCCCCCACAAGCAAGGTGGCAATAACACCTAGTTTCGCAGGGGGTTATATGGAGTGAGAGTGAAAGAAAAAACTGGGGATAAAGAGGATTGAGGAAAGGAATAGAATTGGCGGTTGCATTTAGCTATTGCAACAGTAATACGGTGGGACCTAGATGCCAATCTAGTAGCGCGCTTAAATTCATGTAGTCGCAGCACCACGAAATAAAGTTCGTCAAAGCAGTTGCCATGAATGAGTGAGTTCGATGCTAAGTGGGTATCCAAACATTTGTCTTTGTGCCACAGATACGCTTCGAAAATCATTTTTGAGCAAAGATGTTACGGTTAACAAGCTTCTCTCGCCAAATCAAATGTGAGTTCGATCCTCAGTGGGTGTTCCACACTTGCGGTCTTTTGCCACAGCTACGCTTAGAAAACCTTTTTGAAGCCCTTCGACGTGGTGTAATGGAACAGCAAACTTGTCTCGCCAAATCAATTACAACTGAATAATGAGTTTGCTCCTCAGTCGGTGTCTCATACTTTCGTCAAATTGCCACATCTAAGCTATGCTTAGTGTTATGGTCCAGGTTAGGACCAAGGAAGAATAACACGAACACAAGAGTAGAAATAACGAAGGTATATTACACGAAATAATAATACAATTTGTGGAAGGTGTTAGTATGACTGTGAGTCTGGTTTGGAGTGAACTACTATCGGCTAGACTCGATTCGGTATCTAGCACCCCCACCCCCACGAGGGTTGCATGTGGCACCAGGCCGAGTTTAACGGGGGTTTCCCGAGCCTGTAGGCTCGGTCAAAAAATGCCCGCCGAACCCGTATAAGCGGGATTGGGTTAGTCAACCTCCCCGAACGAGACTCTTCACTTCGGCGGATCCTCGTCCGGGTTCCTCTCCGCTCAGAGGCAGAGGGTTCGACCGTCAAGCCGAGAAGTTCGGCTTGATTCGGTATCTAGCAACCCCCCTACGAGGGTTGCATGTGGCACAAGGCAGAGTTTAACGGGGGTTTCCCGAGCCCGTAGGCTCGGTCAAAAAATGCCCGTCGAACCCGTATATAAGCGGGATTGGGTTGGTCAACCTCCCCGAACGAGACTCTGCCCTTCGGCGGATCCTCGTCCGGGTTCCTCTCCGCTCAGAGGCAGAGGATTCGACCGTCAAGCCGAGAAGTTCGGCTTGATTCGGTATCTAGCAACCCCCCCCCCACGAGGGTTGCATGTGGCACAAGGCCGAGTTTAACGTAGGTTTCCCGAGCCCGTAGGCTCTGTCAAAAAATGCCCGTCGAACACGTATAAGGGGGATTGGGTTGGTCAACCTCCCCGAACGAGACTCTGCCCATCGGCGGAGCCTCGTCCCGGTTCCTCTCCGCTCAGAGGCAGAGAGTTCGACCGTCAAGCCGAGAAGGTCGGCTTGATTCGTCCCTCTATCTTGAGAGGCATAGTATACATAGTGTTAGGAAGTGTTCATTCTGTAGTTATAGGTAAGGACCCATGACACTTAGAAAATCGTATTTTGCCACAAATACCTGTATTCATGTGTTAAATAAACTATTCTTTATGGAGTGGTAAAAGTAATCTCCCCGGGAAACAAAAGGGGTCTGTTCCAAGACGACACCTTCAAGAGTGAAATAAGCCAATGTCACAGCCCTCCAATATACTTGCCATGGAACTTTTTTTCAGACACACAATAGCAATTATCCGATAATAGCATCCTGCATAACAAGTTCAATGTATCTAAATTCTGAGTCCGGAGTTAAGAAAAGCGAATCTACAGCTTTTAGGTGTCGATATATTTTGCGTATAAGAGAATCAACTCATTGAAATCTATTCTGAGGATGTCCTGTCAAAGATATTTCGCATCTACTCTATTTTTTAATAGGCTCTCAACAAGCATTTTTTGGCTGGTAAATCGCTTTTCGAGGGCAATATGACATATTCCCATGTTTACACGGATCCAACAGGCAATCTGTGCGTGCTAGGGGTTATCATAAAAGCGATATTTTTTTTCGTTTTATTGCGGCTCTTATATTCAATGACAGCAAAGAGCGACGACGTTTTTTCAGTAGATCAATGTCTTTCTAACATCAGCGAGGCGAGGAGTTTTATCTGATGATTGGAATGCCGTCCTTGATCCGGATTTAGACTGCAGTAGAAGGCCGATAAAAATGGTATTAATATTCCTTTGATTGTAGAAATGTTTTCGTGATTTTATCGCCCGGCTTGATCTTGTCAATAAATTTCTAGATGAACAAAGAGAATAGGAATGAATTCGGACGGATCGCGGTAGATCAGGTTCCATCCTGTCTTCTTGCTACGTCGTCCGGCTTCTAGTCAGGAGAGTTGTCTTAGAATTCTAAGGGTATCTAAGTTTCCATCGTTTAGATTATTCGAACCACACCCTGTTCAGGGCTCAAATAAAATGACATCAACTAAGCATAATTTTTGTTTCAAATTCTGGGATTATTAAACTCCATTACTTACACGATTTTTATTCTGACTATTGCCAGGTATCCTGGGTAGGGCAGTATGTACTTCAGTGGAAAATGGTGAACAATAACTGAACAGTACTAAATAAAATAACAACTAGACTACATCCCTAGATATATGCAGGGTAAGGAGAACAGTCTACACCTGTGGATTGAATAAAGGGTCCTGTTACCCAGATCCATATACACCTGAGGAAAAAGCGGAAACGTTGTGATAACAACAACAAAGATGAGGACAATAGTTCGAATATAAATAGTGTAAATACCAACTAAGCACGTTTGAAACTACTGAAAATTCAGCACATCCTTGTTATATGAGAAAGATTTTTAGGAATTGGTAGTTTACGGCCATATCGTTTTGAAACAGCGGTTCTCGTACGATCATCGATTAAGCAACATCGGATCTGGTCATTAACTTGATGGGTGACCACTATCGAATAATTGATAATGGCTCGGAATTGAGAAATCGGAGAGCCGAATTAGGTTCGCTAGATTAACTTACGCGCAAATACCTTTCGGAAATGCATGAATCCACCCCTTCTCCCTTCAGCTATGAGTTAATTTTATCGGCAAATCATTATAATCTCCCTGTTTTTAAATAATCGGTAATAGGCTGATGAACCTTAAAAAAATCAGTCAATAAAAGAACCGTTAGTGTGTTTGGACCCCATAACCCATTATGGTCGTAGAGGCACCATATTTGCTGCAGTCATAGCAGCAGTGGTGCATCTTGGGTAAGATAGTCAGGCGGATCATTTCCTCTTCAGGCTGGGTTTGAATTCAGAGTTTTCCTTCTCCGTGAGTGGTTGTTGCTAAATGTCATATAGCTGCAAAAAGAATTTGAGGCACGATTATTTTTTCCACATTTCTTAAACTTGTATATAAGAAAAAATTTCACGGAGGAATTTTTATATTAACCGGCGCGCTGGTTTTATAAGTTGAAAGATTCTCACATTTATGGCTATTCCAATCGGGACTTGCTACAAAACAGTACTGGAGAAGGTCGAAGCTGCAGTTTCTATGTAACCTCAATGAAATCTTTCCTTGGAGAGGAGGACGGACGAAATGTGTTATATTTATCCATTTATGCATTTCAGGCAGTTTTACTTCCACTTGTGAGAGTAACCAAAAAGTTAGAATTATGTTGCTAATCATTGTCTTCATGTGCGGATCGTGTAATAGGTATCGATGCAGAAAGTGTAACCAGCGAACCGCATTCAAGATCAGGGCAAGTCAACTTATGCACAAATGCTCTTGGGAAAGGCATAAGTTCCTCCATCGTATATATACTGGCAACAAGTCTAAGAGCAGGTGAACATTGAAGTCAAATTCCTGGAGCAAAATTATTAAGGAAAGGGGACAATAAAAGAACAGATTTCAACGACACAGATACTGTCTTCGATGTTTTAATGTTGCAAATACTTCGTTAAGATAGAGATAGAGATAGAGAAGTAGGTAGGTGGGTAAGTAGGTAGGTAGAAAATGAACGCCTTTAGATAGATAGATAGATAGATAGATAGATAGATAGATCGAAATGGACACATTTAGATAGATAGATAGATAGATCGAAATGGACACATTTAGATAGATAGATAGATAGATAGATCGAAAATGGACACATTTAGATAGATAGATAGATAGATAGATAGATAGATAGATATCGCATTTACAGTCATACTAAACTATTCAAATTCCTTTCTTTCTATAGCCATAGACAGTTATCATCATTCAGTTTGTGTCCATTCTCAATAACATCTACAGTGTTTTTATGTTACAAATACCTCATAGATAGATAGATAGATAGATAGATAGATAGATAGATAGATAGATAGATAATGTAGGTAGGTAGTTAGGTAAATAGGTAAGTAGATAGAAAATGAACGCCTTTAGATAGATAGATAGATAGATAGATAGATAGATAGATAGATAGATAGATAGATAATTTCAAGTATTGAAGATCAAAAATAATTGGAAAGAAAGAACCAAGAAGTGATTAAAAAAAGCATGGAACTTATGTTAGCATATAACTTACAGTTATGTATAGCAACTTCAGCTGTAAGAATATGGTACCTAGGTGCCAATATTGCGTTACAGTTCCTAAATCGAAGTATCAAAGAGAAAAGCTCATCAGAAGAATAATCATGAACATATTTATAGAAAAGGCACAGAGAAGTTGTTTTACGGCAGTTGGAATTTGACTGAAGACGAAATGTCAGGTCAGAACCGATAACATTACATATTCTTCTTAAGTCAATAATCTCTAAATGCATAGTAGAAGCATCAGACCAAATGTGATAGCAATATTCTATGCATGGACAAATGGTAGACTTATAAACCATGAGGAAATTTTCCTCCATTGACTAGCATATATTGACATTGAATAATAGTACATCACTCTGTCCCTAATTATATATATATATATATTTTTCTTAATACTTCAGTCGACACTGATAGACATGTTATTTCTGCTTTCATCTTTTATGTGCCGTATTCGTTTATGACGAGGATTTTATGGCTCTCCACGACTTCCTAACCTTTGTCATACTTAATAATGTTCGCATTTTTACCATGCTCCCCACTTCTATGCTCACTTATTTACAAACGTGTATTAGGCAGGTTACTGGCTGTTATTCGTTGTGTCACATTCGCCATCTTTCTTTTTATGTGTCCCCAAAGTTTCAACAGTCTATGTAAGATCCTATGTATAAATGTCCTTTTTGTTTAAATATTCTTTAAAAATATTTATTACTCATATGTTCCATCAATGGTATTCTCAGAATTCTTTTGTAGAACCATATTTCTGCTGCTCCAAGTCTCTTCTTCATTTGTGATGAGATTATCCCACATTCATTGCTTTATAGTACGGACAATATCAAGAGGAGCGAAATTACATAACAGTTCAGTACCCTTTTTTGGTTCCTAACAAAATTTTTCTATTTCTTAATACGTAGCTTTTGGAAGTATCTTTTGACGTTGGACTTCATCACCTTTGGAAGCACTTACCTGATATTTAGATTTTCGTACTTTTCTTTTCGGAGTTCCTGAATTTCCCCTTCTGCATTTGTTATCAGCACTGTTATCTGCATATCTAATATTGCCTAACACTCACTGTCATTTTACAGAACCGATATTACATAACAGTTCATCATTTTATTCTTCATCGCTAACGAAGTCTTCCTGTTTCTTAATATTTTGCTTTCCTAGATATTTAAATTTTAGTCCTTGTTTGATTTTCTTATCTCCAATTCGAAGTTCACATCTTGACCTGTTCCTATTTTGCTGGCCACAACACATTCTGTCTTCTTACAAATGTTATTCAATCCATTCTTTCCGAAGTCCCCTTTCTGTTTTTGCTACCAAGACTGTCCCATTTGGTTATCTGATGTTGTTAAGGTTGTGTTCGCCAATAATAAATCCTGATATGACTTTTAGTTCTCTCACGATCATCTTGCTGTCATGGTTGAAAATGTCTGGTGAGAAGATGCATCCTTGTCTTACGCCTTTTGTTCTTATTGTATATTAAATGAATTCATTTTCTCTCGATTTGATCCTGAATTATTAGAATACCTTTCCCAAATAAATCAAGCTTATTAAGCAGTTCAAATAGTAAATTTTTAATATTATTTAACTGTGGAATTTAAGCTGAAAATTTAAATTTAAATTCTCACTTGATTCTGAGGGCGAGAGATAAAATAACAAAAAAAGTAAAAATCCAAACGTGAAATTAACAATGGTAGATACCTCAGAGAAGAAGGGACAAAGAAGAAAAAATATCAATTGACTTTAAAGCAAGAATTAAAAATGGTATATATCTCAGAGATATCGAGTATAGGCGTCTTGGTTTAGACTTCCCCTGTTAAGTCGTTGAAGATTAATTCAGTTAGCTTATTTGGAGAGTCTATCATCGGCCCACGGTACATTTTTTAACCATGCTATGCTCAATGTATTTCTTTCTTTCCGACAATTCTAATTTTACGTGTCTTCATACTAAGGTTACCGGTTTTGGAAGATTTCTGGTTGCTACTTTCGACTGGTAGCTAGGAGTCTCGCGTAGCGTCTTGAGAGGATACTCTGATCAACAGTCGCATAATATCGGGGTTCTTGCAGTGAGATATCGCGCATGGTCCCTGCAACCACATCCGGTGAGCCACGTCGTCCACTCTAGGCTGCGCCAATTCCAACCCCCACACATGTTTCCTTAGACGATCGACAACTACTTAACTTTATTAACCTAAACAACACAAGATGACGATAAGCAACTCCCTAAATAAAATCAAACCAGGTCGACAAAATCACCTTAACCTTTCAAACTTTCTTTCTCCAACTTTCGTGGGGTACCTAACAAATTCGGCAGCGTGGAATAGTCCCTCTTCAAACATTCACCGTATATCCTTCTCTTGGCGAAAATAATCAAATCTTCAATCCCATCTGAATTCTCGATTTCTGGCTATATTCCTCTCCCTAAAATGACTCTTGCTCCCATATGCAGAGCCTGGGAGTTTATATTGAGGAACGGTTCCCGCTGGTTAGGGGTTGCTCTCTTGAGTCTCCAAACCATTCTTATAGGTGCCTCTACTAAACTCAGTCAACTATCGCTTCTTTCTCTGTCGTTTCCTTGATGTCATGACAGTGGCGTGTATCTTCAATAATATACATAAATCCATCTTTCTACACCGGTTTATATATTAATTTTGGATTAATTTATTTTACTTCTTTTTCCTTATTTATTTTTATTTTATGTAATTCTATTTTATTTATTTTCATTTAGTTTTCGATTTTTAAATAACGTAGTACAAATTTGTTTTCGTTTTGAGATGAGTTCTAATCGTTTATTTCGTAGTTTGTTTTGGTCTGAGTAAATAATTATCGCCATTTTTTCTTGCAGTTCTTGGGTTGATTGTTGTACGCTGACGGACTTTTCCTTATTTTCCATGATATTTTTGGTGTGATTTGCTTTTTGTTTTTAATTTCCCAGATATACTTGTAAAGCATTGTGGTGTTCGCGTATTTACTATTTGTGAAAGATATTTGGGTATGTAGTTTCTTCGTTTCTATGTTCCTTCAGTTACTCCTATGTATATTTTCTCTTCACTTCGTAAATACAATCCACTAATATTATCTATCTATCTATCTCTATCTATATATATATATATATATATATATATATATATGTATGTATGTGTGTGTGTGTGTGTGTGTGTGTGTGTGTGTGTGTGTGTGTGTGTGTGGAGAATAAATAAGATACTTAAGTACAAGTCAATGCATTTGCTTTGCGGATTTAATAAAGCATTCTTCTCTGACTTACATCTTTTGTGCCATATGAAATCTTAATCTTCACTCATAAAAGATTTATTCTTAATTCATCAAAACAGACGACTGAAGTAAACGTCGTAAAAGAAGAATTCGCTTCTTCCGATCAGGGTAAATATTCCGTTTCACGCCATTCTTACGCGCATTAAATTACAATTCAACGGCTTGTTCTTTTGTCTCCTCGTTATACCGTCTTTTGTTGAGATGACAGCTTGGAGGGACAGCGACAACAGCTTCATTTCATTCACTTCAGCAGTGAATTGAAAGAAAGGAAAATGAAGGAACCGCATTCCAGAAGTGTTCACTGATGATATTCATAAAAAAAATGCTTATAAATGTAAAATTACTGCATAAAATTTTCTTCTTGTTTCATTAGAAATGAAAATTTACTTAACTCTACTGCTTCAAATGGTATTCTATTACAAATCTCTAAATTTAATATTTGATTATTATTTGCCAGTTGGCGAGAAGCTGAATCAGTATAAAGGTACGTGAAAAAGTTTTTTCGTTTCGTATCTTTTCATCTGGTTTTCTTTCATATAACTTATTTTAAACGATTTCTCAACTTGTGAGACAAAAAGCTCCTTAGAAAAATTTGGAAGAATTTTGAACAACAGCATATTCTTTTGCCAGGGAAATGTATTAATTGTTTATGCTTTAAAATAAAAATTATAAATGACAATTTTTTTTTAGCATCGCTTCCAGTTTGTTTGTTCATACGAACTCTTTCGATTTTATTTTCTTGTTCTTTCACACCTTTTTGAGCGAACTGTACTCCCGGTCTTACTCCATAAGAAAATTTATGAAGGTTGTGGGAGACTCAGTTTAAGAAATTGAAAATAGAAAGACGAAAAAATTGGTCTGAATTGTTAAAATGCTCTTTAAACACCTCGTCTAACATAGTGACAAAGTCTTCTTCACACGTTCGGAAAAAGAAAAGAACGATTCTTTCTTTTCAGACACAGGGAAATGAGTGCAGTCGAATAAATAAATTGTAAAACGGAAATAAAAAGAAGTCAAAATAGAAATAAATTACTTAAAGTGTGAAAATCCCAAAACTGACGCCCTCTAACAGAACTCAGCCAATGTCAGTTAACAAGAGTTCATGCAGAATGATTTTAATCATCGATTGAAGAGTCAACAACTTACTCAAAAGCTTCTTGCCACTGGCATCATCATCATCATCATCATCATCATCATCATCATCATCATCATCACTAATTCCAGCTTTCCAATTCCATTTCTTTCTAAAAAAAAACACATTTTCCATCTAATAAATTAATAATTAACAAGACGAATTTCTTCATTGGTATTTATACCGACATTATGTAGAGAAAAATCGATCACACCGTAGTACCGATGTACACATTTGTGCAGATTGTTTGCAAAGCAACCAGCTCGAATCTATTTCACTTCCGTTCTAATAGTTTGAGAAACTCGCTAAACACTGTCCTATTGTAAGATATATCAGATGTATTACTAAGCTTTGACTAGTCAGGAACAAGATCAAAAAGTTTTGAGTTCCCAGTAAGAATCAAACACACTAGAATGTTTTATAGTTTTTGAAACTCCCTTGGCAACAACTGTTCAACGACTAACGGCCTATCTGCTGATATTTATCTTTTGATAGCTTTATGCATAATGCTGCATTGTGTTGGTAATAGGAAACCACTCTACTATATTTTATAGTAATTCACAATTAAAAAAGGAATCTGCGGTAGAGACTGCTTACATCCGAAATGGACATACAACCTTTTGCAAATGAAACAAAACGAATAATTCCGTTATTATTTACTTTTTCTTTTCGTATTTTTCCGATGATATATAACCCAGTGTACATATTAATACTTCATATGTCCATTCCACGAAGTCGTTCCTTGCAGATTGACCACAGATTCTCGATTGGATTTAAATCAGGAGAATTTCTGGACAATCTATAGTACTTTGATTTGCTCACTGATAAGGCTTGCCAGTGTGTTCGTGTAGCGTTACAATTTTCGTACGCTTCCTTGGAGTATCGTCCATCGCGGACAATGGTTTTTGGACTACTAATCGACAGTCGCGACAGTAGTGTCTGGGCGGGATGAAAATCTGATGCAATGATGCAGTATTCATATTAATGCACACCACTGCAAATAAACTAATCTGAGGAAAAAATAGAAATCGATTACCCCCTGTCACTCCAGAAAGGAAATTTGCACAAGGGTATATACGCAGTTTCAATATGAACAACAATTCGAAAATGTGGCTGTTGTAGATGTAAAAGAATAGCCAAAAGTCGACTTAGGCCCAAGCTTTCGACTCACATCGTCAGGGTTATGAAAAATTGAACACAAGAAAAAAACAAATGCATTTGAAGAAACGCATTTTCCTTAGATTGTCGTTATTTTTGTTTGAACGCTAAATCCAATACAATAAAAGATCATTTTTTATGTCTATAATAGACAAATTTCCGAAAAGTTATTCCCATATTAGAAAAAAATTATTAAGGAATTTAGTAGCCATAAAAATATCTGTTCTTTTTAATAAAACTTTGGCAAGAAAAATGCTGTCAAAATATGGAGATTTTAAATTACAATATGGCGTATTTATACATTAATTCAGATCACTAGAATTTCATAAATTCGAGATGACATAACATTTAAAAAATAATGAACAAATTCAATATGTACGGACATGTTCGTCTAGTAAAACCATAATAGATTTTAAAGCAACAAATTATGTATACGCAAAAAAAAAAAACAAACTTTTAATTACAATTTTCATTACACGTGTTCAAATTTATTTAGATGTCTCTCTACTGTGCCAGATTAATTAAAATTACTAAATAAACACAGTCGGACTGTTTTTATTAAAGCGTAATGCTAAAATAATTTTTAAAAATACTTAAATTCCCAATCGAAAGGTTCTGCATATTACTTTTTAAATTTTGTCTTTTGAGTCGTTTTAAATTTATTCTTCTTTAAATCTTAATCACAATTTGACCAAAAAACGAAACATTTACTTTGTGTCTCCAGTTAAGTGTTGCAATGAACGTTAATATCTTTACAAAGAAGATTTAACCAGAAAGAAAACAAATGGAAGTTACGATATTTTCTATTCAGTGCGAAATGTGATTATAATAAAATATATTTCTATGCAGTTATTATGTCACGGATTAGAGTCATGTTAAAATAGTAAATCCCATTCTTTCTATAACCATCTACTGTTATTATAATTCAGTTTGGATCCATTCTCAAAAAATGTCTACAGGGATTTAATGTTTCAAATACTTCGTCTAGATAGATAGATAGATGGATGGAAAAATTTAAATAGATAGATAGATAGCAAGAAAAAATGATATTGTTAGATAGATAAATAGATAGATAGATAGATAGAAGGAAAGAAAATGGACAAATTTAGATAGATAGATAGATAGATAGATAGATAGATAGATAGATAGATAGATGGGAAGAACCAACTTGCGGTTGGAAACCGTGAGTGGACAACACGAAGAAGAAGATGCACTGGCCAAATTGAACAGAAACAAGGCGGCAGGGTCAGACGGAATAGTAACTGGGATGCTGATAGCCTTAGATGATTTGGACATAGAAAATATTGCTGAAATAATAAATGAAATCTACAACAGTGGGGATGTACCGGAAGACGTAAGCAGAGGTATTTTGATAGCACTGCCTAAGAAACCTGGCTCAAACGAATGTGAACTCTACCGAACAATTAGCCTAATGAGCCACATAACAAGGCTAAACATCCGTATTCTGATGAATAGAGCGCGCAGCAGAAACAGCCCAGAGATAGGACAAGAACAGTGCGGGTTGGTTAAAGACACCCGGACAAGGAACGCGATATTCATGCTCAGAATATTATCAGAAAGTGCAATACAAGTGCAGAAGAACGTGCGCCTGTGTTGGCTGTTACCTGATCATTGGCCGTGCACTATTGAATTAATTTTTCTCCACGTTCGTTGCGGGATCCTAGTCCAAATTTGCCAGCTGTCTCCCCTGCTCTCTCCCTACTTATTTTGGCGTTAAGTTCTCCCATGATAATTATGACTTCTTGTGATTTGCTATAAACCTTGGAGTTGTCTGGCATGGAGTAGGAAGATACGATTTCTTCTCCCTTACTTTGCGTTGTCGGTGCATACACTATTACGATGGCTACGTTAGAAGGCTTTTCTTTGAACTTGACTACAAGAATTCGTTCGGATAATTGGTAATATCCCAGGACACATTTATTGAATTCTTGATCTAGTATCAATCCTACTCCTTTATCGTTTTTCTCTCCGTCTTGCCATGATATTCATTGGGATTAATAATGGAGTGGTTTCTCGTTGCCGTCTCCGCAGTGGTTTATGGAGACACCGCCTCTAGTTAGCTGGCCGTTTCGAGAGTTCTTCTGCCCTTTCTTAGGTCTTATTTGTCGTCCTACTGACTTTCTAAAAAGCTGCCCAACATGGAGTGGGTGAGCTTGTTTAGTCGCCGACATTCCGACAGTGAAGTACTTACCATATATATGTTTATTTTAAAAAATAATCCCCCTCCCCAATCAGTTTGCGAGTAAAAGTTTTGTGGATCAGCGTTAGCAACGCGGTAGAAGTTTGGTAAGGTGGGCTAATATAATAAAATGATTAAGTTTTAAATTAGTATATGTCAAATTATTCACTGTTTAAACTAACGTATTAATCTGACAGGTCCGAAGTGAAGAAAAAAACAAAAGAAATCATTCTTCCTTGAGAGAAAGAGAGGGAGAGAGAAAGAGAGGGAGAGAGAAAGAGAGAGGGAGAGAGAAAAACTTTTTCAAAGCAAGTTAACTCTGCCGACCAGTGGAAGGAAAACGAAAAAAATCAGAGTAGATGCTATGACGCCATGGAATAAAATAAGACTGTCTTAGCATAAAAATTATTAAAACAAGTTAAATTTCATAGAGTCGACAAAGTAAAGACATGTCAAATTAACATAAACATACATTACATTCGGAAAAAAGTGTGAAGACGTTCATTAACGTTTGGCAAGATTCATTACATTGTTATCGGCCATTTGGTCAAAGTAAGTCTAGGAAAGTTAAGTTTCATGTCGTAGTTGGGATGGGATTGTGTAGTAATGTATCACAACCGTTTATTCTTTTTCAGTGGGTAGGGAGGAAAGTGGACCTTCTTTCCCCCTTTAGAGGGGCTTATTGACACCAATTTGTTTTTGTTTTTTTGTTTTGTTTGGTTTTGTTTTAGTACTAAATTTATTTTAGTCGTGGCTCCTTAATGTCCTTCCCTACCAGCCGTGTCTACTTTTTTCATTTTCTCCGTTTTGATTATTGTCGTTCAAACGAATCTTTATGAAGAAGGCCTGGACTAAAATGAGCCCATTAAAAGAATGCGTTCCGTCATTTTAAAAGATATATATATATATATATAAAGAGAGCTCTGAATTCAAAATCTGTGGAGAGTCGTTTAGGGACCTTGCTTGTTGCACGTAGTGCACCAGCTTTCTGTATTCGGTCCTTCAAAATGTGTGATTGGTTCTGCATAAAGCCTTCATCACTATAATCAAACCATATGTGCTGGTTTATGGCTGTTGATTCATAGAGAGAGTCCACCACTCTCTCTCTCACACACACAAACACACACACACACATATATATATATATATATATATATATATATATATATATATATATATATATATATATTAGGCAAGTGGATTACAAAGTGTAAAAATTCATTTTACTTACATAGTTACTATGTATCAAAATTAGTTATATTGCCCCATACATATTTGTATATCATATTCTACTACTACACACACACACACACACATATATATATATATATATATATATATATATATATATATATATATATATATATAATTCATTCATTCATATGTGTGCGCGTACGTCTATGTGCCTAGGTGCATCGATCAGTGCGTATGGTACGCCAGTAAGCCATGCGAGTTCGCAGCCATTTTGAAAATAATCTCGTTCAATTTCAATGTCCTTAATTCTGTAGTGAATCGCAAAGATTGGACATTGTACAGCAAAACATTTCTGATCAAAATTTACCTAATAACACTATTAGGATATGAAATTGCTGATCCATTCTCATCTCGTTGTACCAAGTCAGAATGACCTACTTGCCTTCATTGTCTAATTAGTATTCGTCATGTACATACACGCACCGCTCACATACACAAATAATTGTTTGTAGGGGAAGCAGGAACGATGTACATTAAATTGTCTTTAAATTAAGTAGCAACATATTGATGTACGTAGGTTCTACTTTCCCTACTCACAATTAGTTTTATTTCATGCAAGACTTTCACTGGATTTCACAATTAATTTCGAATATTCACAAATTTATTTCCACGTTATAAAAATTGTTACCGTAGAAAAAAAACTTTCGCAAAAAAAATCACGTAAAAAATCGCCGAAAACAATCGTAGTAATGAAAACTTTGGAATCCAAAATTTCAGGGTTGTGGATCCGGATAAGGCCTGGAATGTTTGTAATTTGTTCACGGAGTCGGTGTGAGTCCAAAATGATAAGATATGTTGGGCTACGGCCTCGAGAAGTAAAATTGAAAATACGGAAAATTATATGTTGAAACACTGTACTTTGAAGACAGTATTTTTTTTCATTTGAATATGAGTTATTGAAAGTTAGAGAGTTGTGTCCCTTTAATTGTTTTTATCAGTAAAATCCAAGATGGCGAAATCCGAAAACTATCGCAGTAATCAAAATTTGGAATCGAAAATTTCATGATTGCGTATCCGGATCCGGCCCGAAATGTTTTAATCTGTTCACGGAGTCGGCCTGCCTAATTCCAGAATTGTATGATATGCTAGACCTCTGGGACTAAACTTAAAACAGTGACATACCCATTCGCATTTATATATATATATATATATATATATATATATATATATATATATATATATATATAGTTAAGTTACGATAAAATTGGTAATCCGTATGGGTAGTCCCAAGGAGGATGATTTTAAAAGGTCACTGGTGAAATAAATTATTACAATGGAACCTTAAAATGGTCTGTGTTTCTTTAAATTATATTTATCTATCTATCTATATATCTATCTATCTATCTATCTATCTATATATATATATATATATATATATATATATATATATATATACTATAACTAGTATATATTAGTTTTCTGTGTTCTTAAAATTATTCTTCTATGTTTTCCATCAGAACATTGGGGATCGTTGTTCTCCACAATTTCCTGTCCTTTATAGCTCTTAATAAATTTTGTCTTTTTGTTATCTCTCTTAAATCTTGTTCCGCTATCGATTTACTCAAACTCTCTTGGTAGTTTATGCGTTGTTTTACTCCATGCTTCTTGTTTTCAGTCTCTCCTGTGTGTATCACATTTACCAAGTCTACTTTTTTCATTATGTGCCCTAAAAGTTTTAACTCTCTCTTCCTGATGTTAAATATAAGTGTCCTTTTTAGTTACCATTTTCTTTAAAAACCTTGTCGCTGCTCACATGTACGATCCATGGTATTCAGAGCATCCATCTCTAGAACGATATTTCTATTACTTCAAGTCTCTTCATTTTTGGGGAGAGTGCCCAGCATTTATTGCCATAGAGGTGGACCGATATTACAGAGCAGTTCAGTACGTTTTTCTTTGTTTTTAACGCAATGTTTCTTTTTCTTAATACTTTCTTTAGCTTTTGGAAGGCATCTTTCGCTATCACAATGCGCCTTTAGATGTCAGTTTCACATTCTTTGTCCTCTGTTAAAAAGCTTTCCAGGTATTCAAATTTTTAGGCTTATTTGATTTTCATATCTTCAATTTGTAATTTGCATGTTGGGTTGTTTCGTTTGCTGACAGGCTTGCATTATGTTTTCTTGCAATTGAGGTTTAATACTTTCTTTTCGCTTCTCTTCTCTGTCTTCTGTGAGAGATATTGTCGTTTTCTTTCCGTGTCTGCTCTCATCACTGTTTCATCTCCATGTCTAATGTTGTTAAGATTGTGGCCGCCAATAATTAATTCTGGTAGGACTTCTAATTCTCTTCGAATCTTCTCATTGTGTAGGTTAAATAAATACGCTGAGAAGTCACATATTTGTATAGTTACTGAATTCATTTTCTATCCGTATTCCGGTGGTTTACTGCCAGTATAGGTTCTCGATTATTCTTCCCAAATACGTCATGGTTACCTACCGGTTCCAAACCGTTTTATGCGACCCTTAAACTAATATTATTTAAATCATGCCACTCTATGTAGAGGGTTACAGAGTAAGAGGCGCTGTTTATGGGAATATGTGGCGAAGATGAGGTTTAATCATAGACTTGAACAGGTTAAGGTTAGTGATCGAGGAAACATCCTCAGAGCAGTAGTTTTCAGGAAGAAACCGATCGATTGGAACTTTCCTCTCAGCAGTGGGATACGGAAGAAATGAGGGTGGTTCGCTAGAATATGCGTGGCATAGCAATGAAGGTTAGAACTGACGAATCTAAAGAATTTAATTGGTCTGAGAACTTTCTATGGAATAGCGATATAAGCATTGAGAGGCTTGCGACATCTCGTCTGTGAGAGAGAAGTTGCAGGGTGGAAAATAATTTGTCACCTATAAGGACGCAGAAATGCATTTGGTCTCTATCAAGAGTGGAAGGTGATGACTGCGTAACTCCTGCCCAAATATGACGACAGTTCTCCATTTAGTCCTGATCTACCTCTTGTAAAGGTAGTGGATAGCACAAGGAGTCTGGTATTTAACTGTATATTTAGCAATGGATTGCATATACGAGCTTCACTTTAGATCTAGGTTGAGTTAAAGGCCCAATAGTCGCTCAAGGCAGGGGTCTCCCTGAGGGGACATCCATTCCTCGTTAATGGTTATAGTTTGGGTCCGTTGAATTTTTCCAAATTTTTCCAATGGATCAATTAAAATTTGACACAGATTTTTTCAAGCTTTTTATGTGTTGCCGTGTAATGCACATCGGCTCAGAATGAGAACTCGGAGAGCCGAGTTCGAATTCCAGTCGAATTCCTTACATTCACTTAGGCGCAAAGACCTTGGAAAAAGGTATGAATTCATCTCTTTTCCCTCCATCTATGGTTTGAATAGGAGGACAGACTGGGTTCTAAAGCCTTGGTTGGGAACCAGTCTAACGCAGAATGGGATGGCACCCTACTGCGGGAAAATCTTCTTCCACTTCAGTCATAGAATGAAAGAGACATGATCACCCAAGCGAATATCACTAATGCACGTAAGTGATATTTAATGAAGTCGCATATTAAATACAGAGAACTTGTAGATTTAAACGCCAGCATTTCTTTATTCTTTGAGATACGTATTCTATTTATTTTTAATTTGACCTTGTTACAAAATATCCTGTATCTGATCATCTGAATATTAGATAATATGCATGATTATTTTTACCATTTCACTATTATGGATTTTAATTGCATCTGATGTCATTATCTGTGATGAAGGGGTTATGTGATGTCAATAACTTGACAGCAATATCGCTATTGCTTCAATTGTCATGAACTAAATATAGAAAGAAATAAACAGAGAGACAGATTGCAAGTAAAAGACAAAAAGAATCAATCTTTGCACGGATATTAATGCAAGAACGTTGAAGATTTCACAAGTACATGAATGTAAAGACTTCTGAAAAAAGTTTGATCTGTCATAATATTCCAGTAGATAGATAAATAGATAGTAAGGTTTTAAATGGATTATTTTGATTAACTGCTTGCTGCCCTGCCGCAGCAGAGCAGAAAACCTAATGAATGACAGCACGCACTCAGAGTACAACTTGCTGTTACCCTGTGGGCGAGATTTTTCTTCTATTCGTTCTAGGACAAAGCGCTTGAGTGACAACTTTTGGGCCCTGTAAAAAGAACGATGGCAATTGAAAATGATAATACATTTTCATTCGATGTTGTGTTTGTTTATGTATATGTTTGTTTCATCTATGTGTGCGTGAGTATGCGTCTGTGTGTTGTGTGTGTGAATGTTTGTTTCATCCATGTTGTATGTGTAAGTATGCGTCTGTCTGTGTTGTGTGTGTATGTTTGCTTCATCTATGTTGTGTGTGTGAGTATGCGTCCGTGTCTTGTGTGTGTATGTTTATTTCATCTATGTTGTGAGCCTGTGATTATGAGTCCGTGTGTCGTGTGTGTACGTGTTTGTTTCTTCTATGTTGTGTGTGTGAGTATGCGTCTGTATGTTGTGCTCTGTGTGTGTGTGTGTGTGTGTGTGCACCTTAGGACTGCTGCTCAGTTTAATTGTGCCTTGCACAGTCGGAAGAAAAGAAATAAATCAATAAAATATTTATTATTATTAATCCTTTTTTTGGTGGTGATTACAGCTGACTTTACATCCGGGTTAATTTAAACAACGAAATTATTTTTGTCTGAATTCCTGGGATGTGCAGTTCCATTTCACTATTATTAGTTACACTTTTTATATTCTCCTCACCTTTTTGTTCTTATCACAACGCTTTGTCATTTGTGCCCTCCGGCCTAAACGTAGTGATAACGGGATATTTTAAGAATACATTGTAAGAATTTGTTTTTGAGATAATAATGATTTAGTGATACAATTCTTAATATTTAACCCATAACAGGGGTTGAAAAGTTGAATTTATATCTTTCCCAAAGGTATTTGCGCGTAAATGAATATAACAATCTCAACTGGAAATGGATCTCGGCTCTCCGATTAAGAATTCAGATCCATTATCCATTACACCACCCGCATATCCAAGCTTACAACACCTGGTATTCCCAAGCAGTCACCCATCTAGGTACTGACCAGGCTCGACATTGCTTAATTTTGGCGATCGTACCGGAATTTGTGTATTTAATGTGATGTGGCCGTAAGCATACTTAGAATTGAATGACCTAAGTCAAAATTATCTGCAAAGATGTTGACCTTGATAAGAAAAAAAATAATGGCTGAAATAATTTACTTGCTTCCCTGATAAATGCAATCTTCAAAAAATAAAAATTCACCGTGAATCACCATCTCCTATCTTCTTGAATCCCTTTCATCTCTTTTTTTTTCATTTTCTCGATATTTTCTCTCACTTTCACTCCTTGTAACACCATGCTAGTGGAATTCCCACCTTGCTTAGAGTGGGCTGATTTAAAAAATATATGATATTATGAACATGAAGTCAGGAAGATTTTTGTCGTTCTCTGACTATACTGGAAATTTTTCGATAGTCTGTGATGATTGACAATCAACTGGATCACCTCCTGTACAACGACGAAAAATACCATTAATATCAATATAATAATGTTAACTGTAAGATTAACCGTTTCTATACAGAAAACAATCGGAATTAACTGATCTAACAGTGTTACTGTCGGCTGAATTTCAGAAAAACATGTTTCTCAAGTTCATTGTTATCGCTCTTTTGGTTATTGATGAAAGTTTCCTCCCTCACCTCGGTCCATGATATCCTTAGCATCCTTCTGTAGAACCACATCTCTGTCGCCTCGAATCTTTTCTTCATCTTAGAGGAAATCGTTCATCATTAGCTGCCGTAAAAAAGGACAGATGTCACGTAACAGATAATGAGAAAGAAAATCAGCATCTTATGTCACTGTTTTCTCTTCGAATTACATTTGCTACGCATTTTACTTGCTGTTGTTGTTGCAAATCTTCAAGTGATGTGATATTTGTTATTTGGTAAAATTCTTTATTTGAGATCCTCTAGCGCCAGTCTGTGTGATATGATGACGTATATGTTTTTCTTTCAGACCTACAGGGTTCATTTGCTTGAAGCCGATCTATTCATTGATATGAGGAAATGATTATACATAGATGATAATTTAGATATTTCTGAATGTGTCATGTGTTAGTTGCTATGCATATCATCCATATGAGATTCGAGAACAGATGATGTTGTTTAAGAATGGGAATTCTTTGGTTTTGTGACAATTTGTTGTGTGGGGCGAAAATACACTATCCTATATTCCATTTCCTTACTAAATTTTTTGTAACTGATCCATATGACGAGGTATTTGGTGTGTATGCGTCTTCTCACCCGACCTGTTCAACCTATACAGTGTGGCAATTCTAAGAGAATTGGAAACCCTACCGGGATTTAGCATTGGCAGCCACAACCTTAACAACATATGACATAGTATTGAAATCAGACAGGGAAAAGAAATTATAAACCCTCTACAGAAGGTAGCAACGAAGAGTGAGAAGAAAGGACTAAGCGTAAACTACAAGAAGACAGAATGCATGGTTATCAGTTAGAGGATGAGCCCGAAATGCGATTTGCAGGTCGGGAATACTAGAATCAAGCAGACACGGAATTGTAAATACCTGGCAAGCATTCTGACATGGGACGGTAAATGCGACACTGACCCGGAGACGTGTTGGGATAGGCAAGGACACGTCCCAAAAGCTGGGCTGAGTATTGCGATACAGGAGGATTTCTTTGGTATTGAAAAAAAGAATACTGAGCTGCTACGTGACATCTGTCTTCTTTATGGCAGCTAATGTCGAACGATTTCCTCAAAGATGAAGAAGACACACCAGGCGACGGAGATGTGGTTCTATGGAAGGATGCTAAGGTTATCATAGACCAAGCGTATGAGCAACGATGTAGTCTTAGAGAGGATGCAAACAAGGAGGAGGCTTATATTTAACATCAGGAAGAGGCAGCTGAAATTTCTGAGATATATAATGAGGAAGGAATGCCTGGAGAATCTACTACTCACGAGCCGAATTGATGGAAATAGAGAGAATGGAAAACAACGTGTGACATACCTGGCGAGCTTAAGCAAGTGGATGACAGAACGTGTTCTGGTGGAGAAAGCAGAGGGAAGGAACTCGTTGATAGCTGCAAGGGATAGAGGGTGGTGGAAAGCCATGATCACCTCCGTCCTGAAATGACATGTCACATAAAAAGAAAGAAAAAAGAGCTAAATTCACCAATGGAAATAATGTGGAGTTAATAAACTCCACTTTATTTCCATTGTGGGATTTAGGGTGTGTACCATTGCTACTTTCAGTTCAAATCCAGATCATATTGTCTGTTTTGGAAAGTTTTACTTTGGTTTCTACTTCTTGGTAGAGGATATTGTGGTGTTTTATCGTTCTTATCATAAATATGAGTATGTATATCATCAACATAGCTACCCTCGCTTCATCATCAGCAGGGAAACAGAATTGCTGTTTTCTATTTGTCGATTCGGGTTGGGATGTGATAGGAGATGCTTAAATGATCAATGACCATCTCTTCACGTCTGTGCTTGTATATGCTCAGAGAATAATCTAGGAAGATATTAATATATTAATATATCCTTGTTGCACTCTTTATTTGAAATCATATTCCGTATAGCGGTCTTCACTATACGACTTTGTGAAGCAGTATAGTTCGTCTCTTCAGATCTAGACATTCAGTCCAGCCAGAAATTGAAAGAGAAAATTAAGTATAACTCTTTAGATATATCATCCATCAGAAATGTGCTTCTCGTTTCCTTCATTTCCTCCAACGTACTTAAAGTCTGGTAGGGAAAGCTTAACAAACTCATGTCCGTTAAATGTTCGTAATCGTCTACAGAGGTATTAATGTTTATCTGACAGCACTATCCACTTTAAAGATAAAAAAATTGCAAGATTTTGCACATCGACCTGCACATTTGAGAAATTTTAATAAAGAAAATGTGATCTCAAGCCCGGACTGAACCTGCATTCTACTTTGTTTCCCCTACTAACCACTATCCTACAAATTGAATAAATAAAAATATATAATTTAAAAATAAACACACACACACATATATATATATATATATATATATATATATATATATATATATATATATATATATATATATAATTTACTAATTTAAAATATGGTTCCATCGCTACACAGGAATTACCACATTTCAAAAACAGAAACAAATACGTCAAAACTTTTGATTCTAAAATTTGTTTGAAAATGAAACAGTACTAAAGATTTTAATTTAATTCTATAATTAAATTTGAAGTTTTTACTCTCTGTCTTTGAAACATGGTAATTTCTATGTAGCGATCGAAACATATTTTTAAATTTGTAAATTTATAATATCTATGCTATGCTGTATTGTATTGAGCGTTTTTTTTTTTGTTTTTTTTTATAAAAATAATTAATAAGAAAACCGGATTATAAATCTTACTATTCTTTCTCTTATATATATATACACGATATGTTGATATGTGCGATATCTGAAAAGTCACAATTATCTACAGAAGAACTACTAGTAAGTCTGTAAAAATAGCGCTTGAAAATAAGTGCAAATAAATGCCAAGTAATTGCCTTAATCTAGTTGAAATAATTATGGATGAAGATGCTTTGAAATAAAAAGCACAGATATATTCTTGAACTCAGTAGTCTCTGGAACATCAGCAGCTGAATACAGTCGAATATTGACCGATTTAACAAACATTTTAGGCATATTTAAAATCGAAAAATAATTTGTGATTGTAAGATTTTTGGGGATATATTGTTTTCTGAAATAAATCGTAATATTTAACCCATAGATGGAAGAAGAAGAGAAGGATTCATAACTTTCCCAAGGGTATTTGTATATAAGTCAATATAACGAACCTGACTGGAATTCGAATTCTCCGATTTATTATTCCCAGTCTTTATCCATTACACCACGTGCACATCCAATCTTAGAGCACCTGTTATTCCCGAACGGTCACTAATCAAAGTACTGACCAGATTCAACGTTGCTTAACTTCGGTGATCAAGCGGGAATTGGTATTTAAAAAAAGACGAAAAGCTTTAGATTCATCAGAATTTGGTAAACTGAAAGGGAAGACATGGAACGGAAAAGGTAGATTTCATGTTACCAAAATAAGATTATTCTGTGCATAAAATATACGTATTCTTGCTTGGTTGATTTCGTTTAGCGACATATCAACACCTCTATTGGTTATTTAATTCCGAAATAGAAATATTGGGAACGCAACGCTATGCCTTTAGCGAAATATAGTTTGAACGGATATTTTTCCTTCAGCTAAATATACACTGAACACAATTATATGCCTTCAGCAAAATATATTTTGAACGCAGATGTATGCTTTCAACTAGATATATTTTGAACGCAGTTGTATGTTTTCAACTAAATATACACTGAACACATTTTAATGCTTTCAACTAAATATGCTTTGAACGCAATTGTATGCCATCAAAATGTATTGTTGGCCATTTTTCTTAAAACATGTTGGTAATTTTACATATGAAATTTTGTCTGGGTGATTTTGTTTTGCAGCATATCAATCTTTAAGGGATATTTAAAGCCAAAAAATGAATAGTGTGTACATAATTTTATGATTTCAACTACAGGCATTTTTTAAAATAATGTTATACTTTCAGGGTAAAGGAAGGTTTTATAAATATATATTTTGTAGATTATAAATTCTATTATAGCTTATTTAATAAAAAATTTGATGTTGATTTTTGTTTGGAAGTTCACTATTTTCCCATGGCTGGGACCCTAACAGGTCCTATCACATCGGTTAAGGGTGGACATGGAAACAATAGAAATTAAGAGGTGGCTGCATGCTTCTCAAAACTTCCGATCAGTAGCCTTTCTGCCGGATGTAGTTTCTCGTCATACCCAGGACAAATTTGTATTGTTATCTACGCTGGAGAAACGTAATGCCAAAAAGAAAGAGGTTGTAGAATGTCTTTCTCATTTGTTAAATAACTAAAAATTCAATGACAAGAAAGAATGACAATGACAAAAATTAAATTTATACCCATGAGAGTGTTATAATTATCCTTCCTTTTACAACATTGATTGATCATATTTGCCCGCTTTTCATATCATTCTACTTATCAAATTGTTGTTCTGCCTAGGAAACACTTTCTGTTAACTATATAGCAGCATCTAGGTATTGAACCCGCCTTCGAACCAAATATCCACTCTAATCAATCTCCTAGTCTATTTAATGGTGAAAAACAAAAACCGGAAAAACAACTACAATATTAACTAAAATTTCTTCTATCCGATGCAAATAATGATATAAGATTGGAAAATATGCACAACGCTCCGATGGAAATATGAAACCATTTGAAAGGTATAAAAAGAAAAGAAAAGCACTAATCCTTACAAATGTAACGAGGAAAGTAAACCAGGAAAAAAAGAACGCTCCGAAGAGATTTACACGACAGAAACGATTACAGCCAATCAATCATGGATAATGCCCTGGCCGGAAGAGAAAATGAATCAGTTCCCCGACCAGACTAAATACATCTGGACATCTCGCGCATTCCCTAGAAAAACTACAAATTTGGCCTTGTGATAACCAAATCATAAGCAAAAACAACACGACAGAATGGGAATACTGTTTTACCATATAAGAAAATGGCATCACCACAAGCGTGAAGCAAATAGATAGATAGATAGATAGATAGATAGATAGATAGATAGATAGATAGATAGATAGATAGATATGGGTATGATAAAAAAAAACATATGTATACGTAGGCATATTTTCACGTATATATATATTTTCTTTCTCAGGTGTTATAAAAAAAGTACTCATTGTTATATAACAGAGCTAGTAAGTATATGTAATTTCACATTTGTAAGTGTAAGTTCCAAATGTTTTATATATATATCGCTTTAGGCTATATTTAACTTAACATCGTGAGAGACAGGCTTGGTCCATAAGACATTATTTTAATAATATATTTTAATATGCACCAGTGGATTCCATTACAACTAACGATGGTTTTCATACAAACCCCCTTTCCTCTTTCGTACATAGTGAGTTTACGTAAAGTCAATGATTTTTAAATAATTTAAAATATTTTTTTTAATTTTTCCTCTTTCGAACTTAAGAATTTGACCGACATAGAAATCTGAATAATTAATTCAAATATTAGAGGCAACAAAATTAAAATGAACAAGTCTTAACACAGAATTTTAAATCAACACCACTAGAAAACGCACCTTCATCACGATTTAACGATCAGTGAGTATGCTGCACCTGAAGATTTGCATGAAACTTCGCCTCTTACTGTCGACGTAGGATATTATGTATATTCACTAATATATATATATATATGTATATATATATAAATATATATATATATATAAGGTAGTTATATATGTGCGCTTGTGTGTCCAGTAAATTTAAAACTACAATAATTAGGGACAATACACACATATATATATATATATATATATATAGATAGATAGATAGATAGATAGATAGATAGATAGATAGATAGATAGATACACCTAGTGAGCCAGACAAACCTACCTAGGTTTCACCTAAACGGATCGTCAGGGAAAGTTTGGCTGACGATCCGTTTAGGTGAAACCTAGGTAGGTTTGTCTGGCTCACTAGGTGTATCTAGGTCTGCTCTACGGTTGTATTGAGCTCTTTTGTTAGTTAGTTGTTACTCGTATCGAGGTTTTTTCTTTGGGCTTCAGACCTGCATCTGTGCGATTTTTTTGTCGGCAGAAGTTCATGTTTGTAGTTCTTTCTTTTTTTAAAATCTTTTTTCCATCGAGATTGATTTGATTAGCAAATCAAAAATTCGAGGGTTTTTCGAAACGAGTCTAGTTATCTATTTATTTATATATATATATATATATATATATATATATATATATATATATATATATATAAAGTAACGTGAATTAACAGCGTCTAAGAATTTGAATGAAACCTGTCGTGTAATTGATTGGGGTTGTTCTTATCATTCACCCTTAACCATCTATATCTAGAGACTAGACGCGTTAAATTTGAGCAACATCTAGCCGACACACTGGGGTTAAAAATAGGAAATTGAAAGAATACATATGACGCACTCATATCCTCTCTCCCACCTCACTCCCTCACTTCGTTAATTTTACGTATACTTGATGAGGTCCGTCAAAAACGTGTGAATTTCATTTTCATTTCAGCTTTTGGAACATAAAGTCTGATGATCCAGAAACCTGTTAAAGGGGTTATGGTGAAATAGCTTATTACATGGAATCTTAACGTGGTCTGTTTTTATTCAAACAAATATATATATATATATATATATATATATATATATATATATATATATATATATATATATATATAAATTATAATCGTATGATTTTTATTTGCTAAGATATTTTAAAATTAAAAATACATAGTAATTGCATTAGAATGTATTTTTCGCCATGTAAGCATTTCAAAATACTCAGAATTAAGAAGTAAAAACAAACTAGAATAACTATTATTCCCGTTCATTTTTACTTTTTTAATTCTGTTGATAATTTAATAATTTAGGAACGCTGTATGTATTTTTAACATTTCTATTCTCTTAAAAAATTTTCCCATATCTATAATAAATAAAAACGGAACTTTAAACAAATGAACATTAAAACGACGAAGTAAATTTAAAAGAATATTAAATACAATTATTTAGAAAAAAGTTTTATATTTATTCAAATATTCAAAACAAAAATTGTAAAAACACAACAGAATGACTTCCCGTCGATATTTTGTGGGGAATTTTCAGTAGCTTCAATATAATCAGATATTCGAAGAACATATAAGTTATCTTTTTCGATATTTTTAATCGGGAAATTTTTAATTACCTTTATTTGAAAACAGGTTTACATTATATACAAGCATTTTTTATGCTTATGTTCTAGGGATATTATTATTATTATAAATAAATGAAAATAAAATATATAATAATGATAGTAATGAAAAGTATAAATAGAATAAAATAAAACAATAGCATTTAAACTTTGTTTAAAATAAATTAAATAAAAAATAAAATAATAAAATTACTCCCAACATACAACACAAACTGTTCCTGTTGGAAATACGGACATCCCGCCAAAAGACTTTAGATTCGATCTCTTCGCCAAGGAAACTCAGGTATTTAAGACGTGTGTATTTTCTTTCTGTTATGGGTTGTAATTCTATGGAATAAATTTTTCTAAGGTAAAAAATAGACATAAAATATATAAATAAATTGTATGAAATTAATATAAAATTTACCATAAATTTTCAGTTATTGTATCCGTTTTTAAGCTACTTTCTACTACTATGATTTGAGTGAATACACCACAATGTCTTTATATTTGGGTATAGAAGAATAACAAAGTTTTATCGATCCAGTAACCACTAAAATCCATTCATTATTTAGCAATTACTTCAATTTCACTCATTCAATCAAAAGCAAGAAATGCATAGGAAAAAAATCATCATATGGAAGTTCTTCAGATGCCAGGAGAAAAAAAAATCTAAAACGATCAAAAGAAACTGGGGCCGTTCGACAGGCTAGTTTGCTAGCTTACAGGAATCAAATTGCTGCTGTAAGACAACTTGAAACTACAGATTTTCGATAGACCCGTTTGCTTGATAGGAATCGAATTACTGCCTCAAGAGAACAAGAAAGACAGCAAATTAGGAGAAATCCTGATTGAAAATACCACTTCATAATCAGAGCTCATGCAAGAGTTTCACGAAATATTAATTGGTTGACGGAAGCTTTTTCTGATGATTTCCAAATAAATTACAAGACTGATCCCAAAGTAACAATTGGAGAAATATAAAACATTTGGAAACATTGTGGAAAGAATAAGAGACCTGCAGAATTACTTGGTCTAAGTTGCTTAGGAGGCAATATCAATCTACCAACAATACAAAATTGCTCAAGAATCTATTATTGTAGAATACCCTCGCAGCGAAACACTTCAGAAGTAAGCTTCTGAAAAACAATTCTGCTTTTCAGATGGTATCTTTTGGAGAATATAA